AGACGACAAAAAAAGGCAAATCAAAGAGGAAAAGAGAGGAAAAGAATCATAAACAGCAAAGACGAGAGGACGAGAGACAGAGGAGAAGGAGCCTGACGGGAGCGAAGACAGGTTGTCATGCGTCCACAGGGACACTTGCCCCGATGTAGAAGAATGACCCACGTGGTCACCCCACTGGCATGAGCTGCTTCACGCTTACGCAAGCAGTCCAGCCAGAAAACCACTGTCCACTCACCCCTACTCTCCCAGGCTCAGGTCGCAGGCAGCAAGCCAAGAGCCGCGGGCTGTCAGAGATGCAGAGGACCCCGGAGAGCTCTTGGGGTTCTCAGCAGGGGCGCTGCTGCACTTTCGGTGGAATAGTTCTTCGCTGAGCTCTGTAGGAGGACATTTAGCACCCCTGGCCCCCCGGGCCCTGGCGGGGAGCGCCCTCTTCGCTTCTCCGCCCATTGCACTTCTAGCTCTTCTCCCCCAGAGCGTGTCCTGGCCCCTGCTGAGAACCACTGTGACTGTGGACAGTGGGGAGAGGTCCCTATTTCCCTCTTAAAACTTTGTCTTAGCTGGCGCTACTGCAGCCATTGCTACTTGCCCTCCCACTCAGCTGACTCTGTTGTCAACCCAGTGACACTGATCCTCCTTTCCAGAAGGATTATTCAGACAAGTGCAAAAATGGAGAGGAATGCAAGGCTGGAAGTAGCTCCAGCTGTAGGGAGGAGGGGGATGAGGATACAACGCCACTAAAATTATCCGCACACGCATGGGCTGGGACCCCACAGCTGATGGGCCTCTTGCCTGTTATAGTAATTTTCCACCCTCTGGGCCACTCCTAAGCTTCATTATGGTCCCCAACACATTTAGAAATGACTCGATGGCCTTACGTAATGCTAAAATAAGACAGTGACAGTCACTAAACTCTTCTGAGTCCTGACCGTTCTACAGGAGGATTCTCAGGGTTTGGTGGAGTTGTTGGGTCCTAACCAACTTTGTCGCTTTCTTGTGTCCCCACCTAAAGCAGCATCACCTGGAGAAAAGCCTGCTTGGAGGCGGCCACGGGTAGAAGCTGAGAAGCTGCTTTTCTCCAGACACACCTCCAGGACCCAGGGAGTCTGGGGTTCTCGCGTGTAGCGATGGCGGGAGCAGGGATCCGCAGAGGGAGGGAGGGAGGGGCTCGGTGTTTCGGTTCTTCCTGGGGTCCCCACCTCTCGCAGCCCTTCGTTTTACTCTCATTTCCTCTCCTCTCTTCCCTCTCTTCCTACATGGCAGCCCCTGTAATCCCTTACCCAGCCCTGCAGCTCAGAAGTTGGGGTATAGGAGGAACCAGGCGGGGCGGGGGGGTGTGGAGAATCTTCTCTTATAACACCCCAATCCGTTATGAAACTTCAGCCAAGATATTTGTCCTCTAGATTCCCCTCTGGAACTCCAAGCATGGGGAGAAGAGAAAAGAAGTGGCAGGGGCTTCTGCCACCAAGAATAACCACGGTCTTACCGGATTTGCTCATATCAAATTGTCCAGTTACCCACAAGCCACCTGGGCTCCCTTAATGGTCAAACTCTTCCAAGTCCAACTGGCTCTAGTTGTGGGGGGAAAAATCCCCAAATTCTGACCCATTGGGAGAAGTGTATGAAGGACAAGTCCTGAGAATTAGGGCTCTGCCCAGAAGAAATGACTGTGAGGAAGGGACGTGGGTCTGGGGGATTTAAGGGCTGGTGGTTCACCATGTGGGAAAAGTTTCTGTTTTGGGTGAACCGTGAGCCGTCACCTCTGTGCTCCTGGGCTCCCTGCTGAGCATGGAGGGAGGAGGGGGATGGAGGAGCCAGAGATTAGGGTATCCGTGTGGCCTGCGGGAGGACTGAGAACCAGGTTTCTCTAGCTGGACCCCAGGAGAAAAAGCAGTTGGGCTCCTCCCAGAGTGACTTCAGGGGGTCCCAACCATGCGGGTGGGGCCAGGCCAGGATCACGCTCCCTCTAAGTTCACCTCGGCAACCTCGTTATCCAGAGGCCCAGGCAGGGCTGGGCAGGGCTGAGCCCCTGAACCACTCGATAGCCTCATCTGCCCCTCTCAGCAGACCCGGTACCTTCATCTTGATATTCTGTTATTTTTTAAGGCCAACCCCCAGTTCTCCCATTCTGACTGATCAAATGGTGGATCGCCAAGTGTGGTCCCTGGACCAGCCCCATCGGCAGCACCTGGAATCCTGTTAAAACAGCACGTTCTCAGGGCTTTGTGGACTACTCAATGTTTGCTAAAGATGGGGAGCTCCTAAGGGAAGGACTCAGCCCTCCTCGGGCAGAAAGAATAATAAATCAGATTAAAGGGCCCCCTCCCTTGCTTCATGAGCAACCAGATTCCTATTTCTGGGCCACTCACTCCATGCTAAATGGCCCTCTAGGGAGGGTTTACATGTTTATAGTCCTCTGAGACAATCGCTATTTTGTTCAGTGAAAGCAACAAAGGAATGTTTGAATCAGAAAGGAAGAGAGACAGGGTTAGGGTCAGGGTCAAGGGTCAAGGGTGGTGGTCAACATCAGGGGCGGGATTAGGGTCAAGGCCAGATATGAAATGTTTGAAGCCATCTTGCTCCCTAAAAGTAGAAACCGATGCTGAAATCATCCTGAATTCAGGCTTCTCCTGCCATAGGACCACCCGACCCCTCACTTCCTCATTTCTCCCCTTTCAAACCCTGGACTCCAGGCATCTTAGCCCAGGCCCTCCTGGCTGAAGATGCTGAACCTGGGACTGGCAGTGAGAGACGTAATGGAGACAAACAGGGAAGCGTCCTTAGCAGGGACAGCCCCTCTTCCTGTCCACTTCTTCCAAAGACAGAACCAACACTCCCCTCCCCCACCCCCACCTCCCCAGAGTCAGGGAGCTGAGTTCTGGCCCCAGTTCCATCACTGATCAGCTACAAGACTCAGGACAAGATAACAAACGTGTTTTGTATTCTGGTTTCTTCACTGGAAAATGAAAACTGTAACACTCTACCCGCTTACTCTACAGGGCTGATGTGACAAAAATATTGTGTCAAAGCAGTTTATCATTAAAACGTTGTTTTCATTACATCTTCTAAGGTGCCGCTGACAATACCTTGTAAG